CGCTGGAGGGCGGGGCTTGGGGCAGGGCCCGTCTTAAGGGTCAGCTTCTGGGACCAGTCGGGGCCAGATGGTAGGGGTCAGGTCTCGGTGAGGGTGGGGCTGCCTTGGAGGGGCGTGGTCTGTAGGGTGAGCGGAGGGCCCTGGGGGGAACAAGTGATGGAGAACCAGACCCTAGAAGTGGGGTCTGAGAGAGGCCAGTCAGGGGGAGGGTTGAGGATTCTGCAGAAGAGGTGAGTCCAGGGAGGGGGCAGGACCTGGGGAAGGGGAGGGACCGGCCAGGAAGGGGCGGGACGGAAGGAAAAGAGACCAGCCCGACCTGGCGAGATCTGAGGGAGGCGTGGGATGTGGAATCAGTGAGGGAGGAGTCACTTGGAAAGGAATGGGGTTCAGAAAGGGGTGAGGTTTAGTGAGGAGGCGGGAGCCAGGAAGGCAGGGACAGGGACCAGGAAAGACGGGTTATCCGGTACAGAGGGACGGGGTCTAGAGATCTATGTAGAAGGACGGAGCCGTCGGTGGAAGGATGGTGAGGAAGGGAGGAGCCATTAGTGAGGCATGGGCTGCGCAGGTAGAGCCTTGGAGCAAGTGAGTGAGTGGGTTTTTAGGGCGTGGGCAGCCAGTGAGGGGGCAGGGCTCTCCGGTGAGAGGTGAGTCTAGGGCAGCGGTTCTCAACCTGTGGGTCGCGACCCCTTTGGCGGTCGAACGACCCTTTCACAGGGGTCGCCTAAGACCATCCTGCATATCAGATATTTACATGACGATTCATCACAGTAGCAACATGACAGTGATGAAGTAGCAACGAAAATAATTTTATGGTTGGGTCACAGCATGAGGAACTGTATTTAAAGGGCCAGAAGGCTGAGAACCACTGGTCTAGGGAGTCATGCCTAGAGAGGAAGCCAGTACTGGGAATGGGTTTGGAGCAGGGCCTACCCAGCTATAAGGGGTGGAAAGCGAGAATCCAGAAGCTGGGCCTGGGAGGATGAAGGCCCAGCCGCTGAGAGATCATAACCGGGAGTCTGCAGGGGAGGTTGGGGCAGAGGCTGGAGCTGCCTGTGGCCTGGAGAGGGGCCTGCTTCCCCAGGGCACAGGAGGGGCCTGCTGGAGTGGATTTCTGGTAGCAAAGGTCAGAACTGAAACTAGCCTCGTGTGCAGACTGAGAAGGAAAGGGGTCATCTACCAGGACATCGGTTCTCAACCTGTGGGTCATGACCCCTTTGGGGGTCGAAAGACCCTTTCACAGGGGTCGCCTAAGACCATCAGAAAACACATCTATAATTACATATTGTTTTTGTGATTAATCACTATGCTTTCATTATGTTCAATTTGTAACAATGAAAATACATCCTGCAGATCAGA